GGGTTCCTGTGACCAGGATGCCAGCCTCAGGGCAGCTCTAAAATCATTCCACTCCTTGTTGGACAAAATTCCCACAGGTTAAAAGCCAAGTCAATACCCTCCCAACCTCCGCCTGCCGCGCACTAGGCACACACCCAGTGGGAGGCTGGCGTACTCAGGAGGGTGGAAGGCATCTCACTAAGGTGTTAGCAGTGAGACAGAGCCACCCCAACAAAAACAAGACCAGCCCTCAGAAGAACACGGGAGCAATCAGTCATGTCCAGGAAGGTAGTTAGAAGCTGCCCAGACCGCCTTGGAGGGAGCTCAATTAGTGGGATCCTCTGAGAGCAGTTACTCGGGCATATGCAGGCAACGTGGAGAGGGCAGAGGGCCAGTTTCTAAAACAAAGCAAAAGAAGTAGCCTCGAGAGAGACGACTGGAGCAGCAGAGGTGGCATCCCCTGGGTTAGTGCCCGCATCTCATTTTGCATTTTAGCAGAAGTCACGGTGCTGAGTTGTTGATTAGGAGGAAGAAAGCCCCTGGTGCATGCAAGGCAGCCAGGCCTACAACCTACAGAGGGAAAGAGAAGAAAGCAAAGAACAGCATCAAAATCACAGCCCCATGCAGAGCCTGTCGGGAGCTAGAGGTCTGGCCAGGGCAGCTGGACAGGGGACTCCCTTTCCCTTCCAGAGAGAAAGGGTCATCCTGGACTCCATCCCCCAGGCTTGGCTGCACTGCACGCTCAGAAGGGAGCCTGGGCACAAAGAACCCTCTCTAAGCTCCCACAGGGCACAGTTGCAGCACGTTTATAAAGAGGCTGGCACATGCCCACAGCTCCTTAGCCCTTGACGAGCAAAATACTTCCAAGAGTATTTCTGCTTCACTGAATTCTCTTCCCTTGAGCTCTGGCCAGGGGGACTGGGATCCTGGCGGCTCAAATCAATGACCCAAGTTCTCTCCGACCCAGGGACAAGCCATCTGTCCACTCGTGGTGTGGACAAAGGCCCCGCTACATGCTGTGGCTCTTCTCTCACCCAGCGAAAAATGCAAGCCTGTGTGACCCTTGCTGGCAGCCATTTCAGCTGCAGAAACCTCACTTTGGTTTGCGAGAATAAATGACACAAAGATGGGAGAAGCTGGGAAGCAGCGACAGAAAGGAAGTGGGGTTTGCGTCAGGAAAACCAGAGACAGGCAGCCAGCGAGGGAAGTAACAGGAACACACTATTCCTCCAGAACCGGACAGGAGCTCTTAAAGTCAGGGTGGCCGTAGCGTCCTTTTCCATAGTAGCGGCTCCTCCAGCGACTGGGAGTGCCCAGCAACCATTCCGCCAGGCGTGGCAAGAGCGCAGTCCGGCCCCAGCAGGTGATGGAGTCAGGCACGCGTGGACAGGTGGAGGAATCAGTTGATGGGAAAGGGGGAGATGACAGAACAGCATATCCGCCACCCCCCGAAAATAAAAAAATGACAAGATCAATGGGAAAGAAAAGAGAAAGTGAGAATTAGGGGCAAGTGTGTAGAAAGTAAACACTGTGAACAGGAAGCTTTGACACAGACTCATTCAGGAAAGGAAAGCCTGCAAGCTCTCCTTGAAGGGGCTGGGCAGGGAACAGCCCCATTTGTGACTCAGTTTCCTGCCTGTGAAATGAGAAGGTGGGACTACATGGTTTTTAGGGAATCTGGAATGATGTTCTGAATGCCAGTGTCCACCTAGTGGAGGCTTTTGTTTTGTCGGGGAGAAAACCAGGGCCCAGCTTGTTAAGCAAGTTGCCTGAGGTCCGATTGGAGCTTGGCCTCGCCACCTCACATCACCCTCCTTGAACGGCTAAGAGCCCCATGCTCCTGCTCTCTGCTGGGACAGTTCTGGCTCAAAACCCAGCCCTGACGACCTTCTTCCAGAGACTCTTCCTCGTGCCCCCCAGGTGGACGCAGAGGCCCCCATCTGGGCTGTATCACAGCACTTGGCACGGTATCACCCTTTGCCCGCATTCATTCATGCACATCAAATATTTAGTGACCAACTATCATGTTCCTGGGACTGTACTAGGAGCCAGGAATACAAAGGTGATAAGAGTCCTGATGTCATTACAGTGTGTCTGTTTGTCTTTATGACACTGGAACTTCCTCGCTGGTGGAACCCTGGCCTCGGCCATCTGTTTCCCCGGGCGTGCAGCAGGTGTGCAGCAATGGCTGCCTAAAACGCACACCTCTATGGCTATGATCCATTACCCTACATTTGTACTGGACTCTGACCCATCCTAAGAGCAAAATACTGAACCCAGTATTGCATGAGATGTGGTATTCCCTAACCACACACTGTCATTCCTCCAGACCATCCCTCTACCTGGCCTGAATCAGCGAAGCACCAAGCATTTCTTTAGTGAATTCTGCAGGACAGAAAACTCATGCTGAGTCCTTCCTCAACTGCGGCTGGAGGCCCACTTTGGTTCTTTATCAAGACAGGGCCTGGAAGCCGGGCATGGTGGCTCATGCCTGTAATCCCAGCACTGCAGGAGGCCAAGGCAGGCAGATCATTTGAGGTCAGGAATTTGAGACCGCCCTGGCCAACATGATGAAACCCCATCTCTACTAAAAAACCCACAAAAATTAGCCAGGCATGGGGGCAGGTGCCCATAATCCCTGCAATTTGGGAGGTTGAGGCATGAGAATCGCTTGAACTCGGGAGGCGGAGGTTGCAGTGAGTCAAGATTGCATCACTGCACTCCAGCCTGGGTGACAGAGCAAGACTCTGTCTCAGAAAGAACAAAAAAATAACAGACATGGCCTGGAGGCTGGGTGCAGTGGCTCACACCTGTAATCCCAGCACTTTGGGAGGCTGAGGTGGGTGATCACTTGAGGTCAGGAGTTTGAGACCAGCCTGGCCAATATAGTGAAACCCCATCTCTACTAAAAATACAAAAATTAGCCAGGTGTGGTAGCGTGTGCCTGTAGTCCCAGCTACTCAGGAGGCTGAGACAGGAGAATCGCTTGAACCCAGGAGGTGGAGGTTGCAGTGGGCTGAGATCGTGCCACTGTACTCCAGCCCGAGTGACAGAACAAGACTCCGCCTCAAAAAAAAAAAAAAAAAAGACAAGAAAAGAAAAAGATAATGGCCTGGAAAACAATGTGCAAGCGAAATCTGGCCACACACTAAGAAAGGTTCTGACTACTTTAAAGGATTAAAAGTAACAAAGAACATGTAACAGAGACTGTGTCACCTGCAAGCCCAAAGTATTGACTACCTGACCCTTCCTAGGATAAGGAATGCTGCCATCACCACACGTGGCGCCAGGTACGGGAGTTGGGGATGCAGCTTCTCCGGGCACTCAGTGACACACACACACAGGGACGGGGGCCTCAGGGGCTTTCTTGGCAGCAGGTGGCAGACAGGCTCTTCCCCTCGCTCTCATCAAGAGCAGCTCCACGTTATGGGTTTTATACAGCGGGACTCTGCGGGAGATTCCACTTTTAGAAAGTGTCCTTTTCCTTAAAGTTTATAACTGGCCAGGCGCAGTGGATCAAGCCTGTAATCCTAGCACTTTGGGAGGCCGAGGCAAGAGCATCACTTGAGCTCAGGAGTTTGAAACCAGCCTGGGCAACATAGTGAGACCTCATCTCTGTGTGTACAACAATTGTTATTTGAAAAGCTTCTCAGAAAGGTAAAACTATTCTTAGTTTGCAGATTGTACAGACACAGGTGGCAGGCCATACTTGACCTACAGGCTGGACTCCTGGGTGAGATAAATCGATTCATTTTCTACATGGTTGGGGGCAAAAATACCAAAAGAAGACTATTTCATGACATGTGAAATCCCAATTTCCAGCATTAAGTCTTACTGGCACACAGCCAGCTCCCTGATTTACGCCGTCCGTGGCTGCTCCCGTGTTGCGATGGCAGAGCCGAGAGGCTGTGGCAGAGATGGTGCTTGGCACACTGCCAAAGTTGGCCCCCAGAGTGAGGACTTGAGTTGCCCTCTTGGCCTGCAATGCCTCCAATATTCACCTGGCCCCTTACAGCAAGTTTACCCGCCCTAGACCTGGCCCAACCCCTAGCCCAGAGACTTTTGAATGATGTGGAAACTGAGGCCCAGAACAAAAAAGGACTTCCCAGGTTCTCATAGAGCATTCGTGACAGGGCAGAGGTCTCTTCTGAGTGTTCTAGCAGAGGCAGTCAGAGGACAAAGGAAAAAGGGAATGAGATAGAATGCAGGAGAGATGACAGTGGCCCGTGACCTGGTGGACATCACCCCCGCAGCAAGGGGTGCAAAGGGCTGTGTGTTAAACCAGGAGGCAGACAGCTTCTAAACCCAAGTGACTGTGGTCCCCATAAGAGGTGGCTGGCTTCTTGTGTTTCGGTGGGTGCCATTGTAAGCAATATTGGTTCTGCTTATTTCAGTGAAGCTTACAATACCACGTCGCTCTGACTTCTAACTGACCCCATCTTGCCCCTCCCTCGGCAGAGCCTTCTAGTCCTGGGTTTTCACAGCTGCAAACTGCAGGTGCTCACCTGTCAAAGGGAGTCTCCAAAACAAACGTGGGAAATAAAATCCTGGTATCACTTGGGCAAGGGGACTAGTCACCTCGGGTGACCTACCGTGTGTATTCCTCAGATCAAAGTCCCGGGCAGAGGCCAAGCGTGGTGACTCATGCCTGTAATCCCAGCACTTTGGGAGGCTGAGGCGGGTGGGTCACTTGAGGTCAGGAGTTCGAGACCAGCCTGGCGAATATGATGAAACCCCGTCTCTACTAAAAATACAATAATTAGCCAAGCTTGGTGGTGGGTGCCTATAGTCCCAGCTACTCGGGAGGCTGAGGTAGGAGAATTGCTTGAACCCAGGAGGCAGAGGTTGCAGTGAGCCTAAATCACGCCACTGCACTCCAGCCCAGATGACAGAGCAAGACTCCGTCTCAAAAAAAAAACCCAAAAAACAAAGTCTTGGGCAGAAAGAGCAGAAGGTGCCCTCCAAGACCCCAGGTGAGGCTGCGAGGGCCTGGCTGGCAGTCTGGCTCGTGGAAGAGGCACTTACTCAGCTGACTTCCAGAAGTGTCCAGGGTGCGAGAGCCGCCGGTTCAGCTTGGGAAGTTTCTCCAGCATGTCCATCAGCAGGCTGAAGCTGGGTCTCTCCTGCAGGTTGAAAGCCCAGCAGGCCGACAGGATCTCCTGCAAATGGAGCTGCCATCAGCGGTGTGTGAGCTGGCTGGGAGGGAGGGGACACACAGTAGGGGCACTCCACAAAGGGTCCCTTCGATGTTCTCAAGTACCGTCTAGCTGGAGGGCCCCTGAACACCCTGCTGACATGAAGGGGTAAGAAGTAACTGGGTTTCAGAGAACCACTCATGCTTCTGGTTCAACATGGAATGCACCAGGTTACCTCACCTCCTTACTTCTTAGATCCATGCGCACCCCAAAATAAGAGTAACCATGATGAACAGACCAGCAATGGGAAAGAGATGAGAAATGGGGCTGTTGGTTTTTTGAAGATGCAAAGTGCAAGGTACAAGGTTCGCAGGTGAAATGCAAGATGCTCAGAATATGCGCAAGCTGGGGCTGCAGCGGAGGAGGGAGCCTCAGCATTACTAGAACGGCGGCTGGAGTGACAAGGAAGACTCAATATAGGGGCAGCAGCTAAGAGTCAGCAGAACAGCTGTCCCGATCACCCCCAGAGCAAAACCTTTCTTGCTGTGGCATTTTGCTGCCTACTCTGAGGATCCACGTGTGTACCAGCACAGCCCTGCAGCCTTCTGATTCAGAGCTGCCTGTGTGGAAAGGCCTATTTCTTGCACATATGACCAGGCAGAATACATACACCCACACAGACTCAGCAACTCAGGCTTTTGCTCTCAAATACAACTGGACCCCATGGGGTTGCCTGCTGTATCAGGAAAACCAGAGAGAGACAGAAGATAAGCAGATCAAGACACTGTCTCTGGAGGATAGGGCGTGTACGTGTGTGTGTACATTTGTATGAAGCAGCTACTCTATCCATAAAATAAGACCAGGCTGCAATAAAAAAGAAATCAACAAATAAGAAAGTGCTTGAAATGAGAATATAATTTCTGAACTGAAACACTGAAAGTGCTGGAAGTTAAAAATCAAGGAAATTCCCCAGACTGTAGGCTCAATTCTAGATAGGGGTGGAAAATACAAAAGAAGGTAAGAGAAATGTAGGCTCACTAAGAGGAACCAAATTCTGTCTAATGGGGATTTCCACAAAAGTAAACAGACTACTGGGCAGGAAATTATCAAAGAAATAATAAAAGAAAACTTACCAGAAGCTGTCAAAGATAGCAGCTGTCTTCAGCTGAAAAGGTCCAATAAAGGGACCTCACTAAAAACAGTTAAAAAAAAACAAACAAACTCTACCCTCAGATATATGTTTATGAAATTTCCCTATAGCAGGGATAAACAGAAAATCCTAGATGCTTCCAGAAAGAGTAAGACAGGCATCCACAAATGGCTGAGAATCAGACCAACACCAGACTTCTCAGGAAGGCAATGGACACTTAGTAGACAGCAGGGCAAAATCCCTGTGGTCTCAGGGAAAATTATTATGAACCTGGAATTCTACTCCTGATATGACGATGAAATAATAACTTTTTTAGGCATGCAAGGATTCAAAGATTATCTCCCATTCTTCCACTGGGGGGCAGTTTCTTCAGGTTTCACTTGTAGTTTGTTCGTTGGAGTGCAAACAGAGGGCAAGACATGAGACATGAGGAATAGTGCAACTGACCCAGGAGTGAATGAAAAGAAAACAGAAGGGTAACAGCTGTGCAACAGGCCTAACATCCCACTGATTCCAATGACAAGAAACCAGTGGGCTCTGAAAAGAATGGAACGAATTCCACTCAGGAAGCAGAATGCAGAAGCTGAAAGACCTCAGGAATATGAGAAAGGTGTTTGTTTCTTCTCTCGGCAGTAAGAAAAGGCAAGAAGGGGGAAAAAAAGGCAATTAGAAACTACAGGAAAAACCTAAACTACACAAGAAAGCCATGGTCTAAATGTGAAGCCAACAAAATTGTGAGCCTTTCAGTAACTGATGAAGTGGAAGAGATGGACCCACAAAGAAAATGTAATCGCAGTGAACTACCTGACCAGCGGCTAATAGCACTTACAGTCTACTACAGTAGTGTACACACTGTTCATCATCTTCTCACTTTTAGCCTCCATCAATAGGCACAGCATGGAAGATTTAATCATGGCCACCTTAACAATAAGTAATGGAAAACCTGACCTAAGTGGTGCAGCAGAAAGAACAGAGTGCCAGAGTGAAAAGCTGACAGACCCAGATGATGCCTTTGGAGAATGATCTAGGGTGAGGGACTGCTGGTTTTCATTAAGAACCCTCTGGTCTTTTGATGTCTTCCCATGTGCATGGACCCTCAGATACAATGACTAATAACTCACTGGCTGCCTCAGCACATAAAGCAGTGCCTGGTGGTGAACTATACAGCAGTGTGGCTGAAGAGACAGAGAAAGGTGCCACTCAGAGGGCACTCCCAGCTTTTGTCTATGACAGAAAATAATTTTATTGCATTGACCAATGTTCCCCTACCCCTAACAGCAATGTGTTAAAAAGGGAAGGCAAGACTGGACAAAAGAAAGGGAACACCTGTGAGCCACAAGCTGCTGCTGGAACATCTGCTCCGTCCCCACTCCCCACGCCCTGACCCCAATCTGGTCTCAAAACCACCATCACCCTGCACTAAAAGAAATCCTTCCAATTAGTTCAGAACTCTAGCTGTGCTCTAGAATGATCTGAGGAGCTTTATTTAAAAATAAAAAATAAAAAAAACTATGATCTTATTCCCATCCCAGGTCAATTAAATTGGTACCTCTGTTGGGGAGGCCTTAACCCTGGCACTTTTATAAATCTCCCGGATGATTCCAACTTGCAGCCAGTGCTGAGCCCTGACTCCCTTGCCGCCCTTTGCTCAGCCCTGCTCCAGCCTTTGCCTCCCTGAAGATGGCACTTACCATTCTCTGCTCCAAGATGCTAAGTATGCAGAAAGGAAACAAACTGTTGCCAGGAGGGCAGAACGAAGAATATCTTTTCTCTCAGACACAACAAACATACATAATACTCTGGTTTATACAAAGATGTCCTTGCTAACTCTATTGTAAAGAGAGGTGAAAACTGGAAAGAATCCCCATGTCTAGTGACTGAAGTAGTTACATTACGGTGCAGCCACAGGACCTAAGGGCAGACAGTCTTAACAATAAGGATTTGTTAATGATTTGAGGTAATGAGCATAACAAAATGTCATATGGAAAAAGTCACAATAAAAAAAATCAGCTAGGTTTTATGACACGTATGTCTTAAATATTTTTTTAAAAGACTATGCCGGGCGCGGTGGCTCATGCCTGTAATCCCAGCACTTTGGGAGGCTGAGGCAGATGGAGCACTTGAGGCCAGGAGTTCGAGACAAGGCTGGCCAACATGGTGAAACCCCATCTCTACTAAAAATACAAAAATTAGTCTGATGTTTTGGTGCATGCTTGTAATCCCAGCTACTTGGAGACTGAGGTGGGAGATCACTTGAACCCAGGAGGTAGAGGTTGCAGTGTGCCAAGATTGTGCCACTGCACTCCAGCCTGGGCGACAGAGCAAGACCGCCTCAAAAAAAATTTAAAAAGACTGGAAGGCAGTGGTTACTTCAGCTGCCATCTGAGCTGCCCCAGAGCCCAGCCAAGGAGGCTGCAGCCACAGCCAGGAGCCTAAAACCTGTATCTTGAGCCCACTGACAGTTGCAGGAGGCAGATAAAGAAGGGTCCCTGGAGAATCTCTGTCCCACCCCACAAGTGTTTACACCAGATGTTTTTGTGCAGATGAGGGTCTTGCCTGGGTACACCCACAATAGACTGGAGACCTATATGCACTGGGGGAATAGGGTGGAGCCACCAGGAATTCGCACCTTATGCAGGGGGAGGAGCCTGGTCTCTTCAGTTCATGTATGGTGGCTGATATGCAATTGTGAGATGGGAGCCTGTTGGGAGGACCCCCTCTTTTTTGTTGAGAGTTTTCTTTTAATGAATTCCACTCTCCTCACCTTTCAATGTGTCCATGTGCCTAATTTCTCCTGGTCATGAGACAAGAACTTGGATTTTAGCTGAGCTAAGGAGCAAAAAATCCTGCATCACCACCACACCCTCCTAAGGTGTCTGAGGATGCACCAAGGTGAAAGTGGTATTTAACTGGCCTTGGCCCAGAAGGAGGCCAAGAAGGACAAGCCTGAGAGTGTCAGAGAGGTGATCATCACCCATGGCCCTTGCCCAGCGCCCCAAATGAAATGGTATCAACTGGCCAAAGAGGAGCCTGCTGCTAGTGTTGTTAACTAGCATTTTGGTGTTATCTTTGGAGGGGCATCCCTGTACAAATATTTTACACTTCAACAAGATGAAATATAGTACTGTGGAATAAAGTAGATCAAATATAATGTCATCTTGAGTGAGCCTTCTGAAGATGCCCTAGCTGCTTGCCACCAGTCGATTGAGAAAAACATTGCAATCTATTAAGATCTTGGAGGAAGATGAGGTTGAATTCATCCCTGTGAATTTGCAGACAGAGTCTGCAGACAGACGGTGATCCTGCCAGCAATGTTCATGACCTTAACAAGAAGCTTGCAGCCTGTTTAGATCTTAGCCTGGACAACTGCTGGGTGATCCCTCTGAAGACTTCAATTGTTATGCTGCCCAAATACGGACTGGAGTTGCTTATTAACATCAAGTCTGTTTTGTCCCAATCCTATCTGATTCATGGACACACGGCTATCACTGATGGCACTGAAAACACTGAGCCCTGGAGTTTCTTCATATATCACTGTGCCGGGATAAAGGAAACTGAAAGCTGTCAGAATCAAAATAGAGTCACTAATGTGAAGAAAACTCTGACAAATCGGGCCTGGCAAAGCCATGAAGAAAGGCTTCTTGAGCTTGTATGTCTGATAACAAAAACTATCACTAAAGACTGCAAAAACTGCAACTTTGTATGAAGGCCATGGCAATCTTATACAAAAATACTCCTACAAGGACAGCTGCCCCAAACATCCTGTCTAACCCTGGAATGACATCACTCTTGTTAGTGATCTTTGCCGCCAGGGAAAACTATTAAATATTTCAAAATAATTATGTAATCCTCTTCCTTTTTTCCTTTACCTCCCTGAATAAGCAAGCCATTCACCATGGTATGCATATTCCCAGTGAAACGCTCTATTTCTAAATAAACATATTTTGAGAACCTCTCTTATTTAACCTGACAAAACTTACAAACACAGAGAAACCATTAAGGAGAAACCACGCAGAAGTGAGAAGTCAGTAACTATAATTAAGACTTGGTTTTTTGAAAACAAGTTTGCTGTGGAAACTTTGTTCTTAACAGTCAAGAAAAACATGGGGAAAGATTTAATACCACAGCATAACACAACTATTTGTATTTTGAGCAGTGATTTTTTTTTAAAAAACTATCTTCTTTCATGTAAATAATATGGGGCTTTACCTTCATCTCATAAATCAATGAAAACCATTATCTTTAAGAAAAAAAAAAAAAGACTGAAAGGAATGAAAAAGGTGAGCAGTGGGGTAAGGATGGATATTTTCTTATTTATGCCTCCCTGTTCCTTCCCCATTCCTGGGCAGTGCGTATCATTTTCATCTCTAGCTAGACACCTGCAGGTGGCAGAGCTCCTCACTGACCCCATTTCTCAGGTGGGTGAGTGAAGGGTGGCCATGCCACGCGTCCCACCCCACCCTCAGCCCTACTGCCCCACCCAGGGCAGGTGCTACTTACACTGACTTCCTTCCCCAGGCTGACAGAAGCCAGGACACGCTTCATTCCTTCCCCGCTTCCAATCTGCCAGATGGATGCCTCCGCAGCCTGGTTCTTCAAGGGCCAGTCTCTTGCTTGCAGCTCATACCAAACAGTTCTGCGGAGACCCAGCCATGGCCGTGAGCTCCTGAGCCACTCTGCCCAGCTCACACCCAGGGGCTCTTGCAGCCATAGCCCAGCCAGAGGATCACGACCCTTCTCCAACCTTCCTCACCCACTTGGCTTCAGGGGGTGCTACAGTGGCCTCCTGGAGGCTCCTCCCAGCCCTAGAGGACCTGGGCCCTGTGCTGTTGTGGGGTGGGAAGTCTGAGACAGCGCAGGCTTGACTGGAGCATTGGTGGTCATTCTGACCTCAGCACAAATCCAGCTCTGCCACCTTCTAGCTGCAAGATCCCAGTAAAACTACTTCACCTCAGTGGGGCTAATGTCTCTTGTCACAGGGTTGTTTGAGGAGTACTAAAGTGCCAAGCCCAGCACCTGGCACACATGGGTGCTCAGGGAAGGATACAGTTAAAGGTCAAGGAGGAAGGATGGCGCCAAGGCCACCCCACTGGGAAGGATACCCAGAGACAGCACAGGTGACCGGGGTGGTGAGCCTTCCTTGGCCTCTCCACATCCCCTTGGCTTTCTTGACTTGGGATGGGACTTTCTCCATCAGACCCACACTGTCCAGTGTGGGAGCCTCTTGCCCCGGGGGGCTAATGAGTGATTGAAATGTGCACAGTTGAATGGAGGGATGCTCTAGGCAGAAAACACACACCAGACTTAGTAGGAAAAAAGAATATAAAATATCTTATTAATTTGTATATTGATTACATGTTGAAATAATATTTTGGATATATTGAGTTAAATACAATATATAATTTTATAATATATAAACAGCGGAAACTAATTTCACCCATCTCTTTTTTAATGTGGCTATTAGAAAACTTTCTCGGGCTCACATTCCATTGCTACTGGTCTGCACCCAGGTCTTTGTGGGGTAGCACGGCCGGCAGGACACCCAGCTTCCCCAGACTGGGAGGGGCAGTTCTCGGTCAGCTCTGGTGAGCATCCTCCCAGATCAGCGGGGTGGGACTGACAGCCAGTGTTAAGCACTGTACACAATTACCTGATTTAGTCCTCATGAAACGACCTTGTTGGGAGGAGCTATTCCAGAAGGCCAAGGATATGGTCACGCACTCAACAAGCGGCAGAGTCAGGACTCAAGACCAGGTTGATTTTTATTCCAAAGCCTGGGTTTTCAACACCTAAAAGCACGCCTCCCTCTACCCCCCAATGGCTACTAGGGCCCTCTCTTTTGACCACACTTGGCCTCAGGGCACCAGGGGCCTACTCACCCAAACGCATAGACATCAGCAGCTTTGGAGAACGGCAGCTGATCCTCGTCCTTCCCAGGGGTCATCTCGCGTACGATCTCAGGGGCCAGATAGCACAGCCAGTCGTGGGACAGCTTTAGCTGGTTCTCACGCCTGGAGACCAGGAAGCCGGGACAGGGACACAGACCTTTCAGCAGGCAGCAAAGAGGCCTGCCTGGCACAGGCAGGGCCAGCAGAACACCCATACACAGCTTCCAAAACACACCCAGACCCAGCACGCTGACCCTGCACTTGGGAAAGGCACTGGCGCTTTTGAGGAATTCTACAAAGGAGTCATGCCCGGGTGTTTCTAGAAAAGCAGGGCAAGAATGGATAAATATTGACAGGGAGCTGCTGGTGAAGGTGCCCAGCTCCCTCTGCTGGAGAATGAGGCGCCTCTCTAACCAGGAACCCCGATCTGCCCGTGGATCTCAAACTTGCCTGGGGCTGGCCTCGCAGCCTCGTTGCCATGTTCCCTTTCGGGGTTCCCCCAGATGCGAGGGGAGGGGCTTTTCTCCCTACCAATCCCTTCAAGATCTGGGGAAATAAAATTTGATGCTCTTCCTCATCGTGGGGAAATGAATCCTGATTCCTTGGCCAAGCTGGTGAACAGCCAGGGCAAATGTGAGTGTGGGGACCTGGTTTCCATGGAAGTCAGCCTGAGAACCCACACATGACCCAAATCTGATTCTGAACCAGAACTACAAGGGCAGGACCAAAGCGACCTGGGCTTCCCTGCAGGGAGGGCTGCAGCTCAGCAACAGTGACAGTGCTCAGACCTCATCCCCGCTCTTCCCCACCCACACCCACATCCCACCCAGACACTCAAGACCAACTCACCGTCCCTCTCGGACCACGCCCGAGATCCCAAACAGCCCGAAGTCTGTGATGACCACCTTGCCATTGTCATAGAAGACATTCTTAGATTTGAGATCTTTGTGTACGATGCCCTTGGCATGAAGATATCCCATGCCCTGGAGGACACATCAGGAGGAGTGAAGATGTGCGACGATGACAGAGCTGCCACCCTGGGCTGGATGCTTTACCTAAATCCCCACATTTGATCTTCACAATTCCATGCAGTATATTGTCCCCATTTCACAGAAGAAAAAATCGAGGTTCAGAGAGGGAAAGTCACTTGCCCCAAGCCACATGGCAGTGAAGGAGCAGAGCTGAGATCTGACCCCAGACTGGTCTATGCTCCTTTAATGTTACCATGCTTCTGAACAACCACCTTAAGCTTGGCTAAGGTAGGCGGTATGAACAGGGTGATGGGCAGGGAGCCAGGGGGTCAGGGACAGTGACATTATCCGTGTTCAGTCATAAAGGGCCTAAATGAGCTGGGGTTTTCTGTCAGGATATGCACAGTTGGTCTGTGCTCTCAGGCAGGGCAAGGGCTCAAGGTGGGGGAACAGAGAGGCATTCCCACATTGGGGTCCCCAACTGTGAGTGTTCCTAATATCTGAGCTGTAGCAGAAGGAGCCCTGGACTATAACCGAAATCTGGGGTTTGAACTCCATCTCAGCTCAGATTCTCACTCACTCCGTGGCCTTGGACACAGTGCTCAACTTCTCTGAAGCCTGGTTTCCTCGTCTGTCCAGTGAAAACATGGCAGTGGTTGATTTCTAACCAATGTTCTATTTGAACTGAACACTGATGAGTCAGGTGCATGGAACGTGGGTGACCTGACACAGGCATGATCTCACCCAAGGTCAAGCTGTCTTCAAACACCAGACCCAGGGCTCCTGGGTACCCCACTGCATGGATTATTGCATTTTTAACCTCACACCAATCCAGAGAGGGAGGATATATGAAGACCCTCATTTTACAGGGGAGAAAACTGAGGCTTAGAGAGGCTAAACAACCTACCCAACGTCACACAACAGTTGTGACCAGGATTGAAACTGTCTCTAAAGCCTGCCAAGTTCCTTCCCAATCAAGTTAATTCCATCAAGCCTAATCATGTGGACAGTCAGCTCCCAGCTCTGAGTGAATGAGACAGAGACAGGGAGGAAGAGACAGGGTCCCCACCCTTGAGGAGCCTGAGCTTGAGCGAGAGGCAAAGCTGCCCAAACCACTCTAACGGGGGTAACAGGGCGAGAGGAACAGCCGGGAGCCCTGGAACTGGCCAGAAACCCAACCCCAGCAGCTGGACTCCCTCTCACCTTGATGATCTCCTGTGCGATTTGCCTCGTCTTGTTGATGTCCAGAGACGTCTTGGGGTCCCTCACAAACGAGTGCAATGTCCGCCCCTTGCAGAAGCTGTCGAGGGTGGTAGGGGTCAAGCACGGGTCTGGGGCTGGTACATCCTGACCCTATCCCTGGTGGAGCCCATGGGGAGAACCGCGCCCACCTGCCTGCAAGGACTCTCTCCAGCCCCTCGACTGTGAGCCAAATCTTCTTTAACCCAGCCTATTCCTGCTGGGGCCTGGCCTGCACGTGCAGAAACACGTGATGCCACGCACGTACACGTACACAAATCCCCATTCCCTGAGAGCCAGTGCCTGCCCATCCTACAACAGGAAACAGTGCATCAAAGCTCTCAGGAACTCAGAGTAGCCATGCTTGGTGGCTTCAAGGCAGGACCACTCTGATGGGGAAGAACTTAGCTAATCTAAGGCCATCAATAGGCAACATCAAGGCTCCGGGGCTCACTGTCAAGAGTCTCATTATAGTTTTCGTTTTTTCTTGATCACAGGGTTTTTATTACAATAAAGGAGTCTGCAAGGAGGGAGGGAAAGGGGGTGGGGTAGATGTTAGGGGCGTCAGGGTGACTATTGGAAAAGGAGCCTGAGTTCTGGGGTCTCCACCTGCATCAACTCCTAAAACCCCGGGTGAGGAGGGACCCAGAGAGAATGTGGGTCCAGGGGCGCTATCTTAGGAAGGGACTATGTTTTTAGGAAAATATTTTTGGAGTCTCAGAGCCTTTGAAAACTGGGTGAGGGGTAGAGAATATTGGTTGGTGCTTTCCTTATCTGTGTCCCACTGTCCTTCAGTGTATTCTAAACAAAGTAAGATTTTTTGGTTAACAAATATTTTCCTGTTTCAGGCAGGCCACAGTGACTCACACCTGTAATCCCAGCACTTTGGGAGGCTGAGGTGGGTGGATCACCTCAGGTCAGGAGTTTGAGACCAGCCTGGCCAACATGGTGAAACCTCATCTTTACTGAAAATATAAAAATTAGGCGGGTGTGGTGGCGCACGCCTGTAATCCCAGCTACTTGGGAGGCTGAGGCACAAGAATTGCTTGAGCCTGGGAGGCAGAGGTTGCAGTGAGCCAAGATCACACCACTGCACTCCAGCCTGGGTGACAGAGCAAGACCCTGTCTTGTTTTTCATTAATTAATTACCGATTTTGTTTTTCATTAACTAATTTAATTTTTTTGAGATGGAGTCTTGTTCTGTAAATAAATTATGGGACCACCAGTGATCAGTTCATGATTATATGACTCTTCCCAACTCTGCTCCACTCCAGGGAGCAGTCTGAAATTGACCACGGTGAGAGTATTTACACCACAGGAAGTGATGGATGTTACAAATTAGGGCTTCCCTCCATACCGCCCCCAAACTGGTTGTTACACATTTACCAGCACACCAGTGAGTTCAGCCTATGTGACGAGGATATTGTGCAGGTGTTTTCTGAGAGTAGACCTCAGACCCACAGTCCAGTGCAGGAGGCAAGGTGTGAGCCAGCATGATCTCTCCTTTGTATTTTTACAAAAAGGAAAAAACAGTTTAAAAACGTGAGTATATGCAAATGTCTTCATTTTAACAGAAGGAATGTTAACTGTTTATAGTGTCTCTGACTTTGCGGAGAAGCACTCAGCTGCAGTGGGAGAAGACTGGCTTTCACTCCGTACCTTTTACAGACATTGATTTTCTCTAACCTTAGAAAGGTCTCACTCTGTCACCCAGACTGAAGTGCAGTGGCATGATCTTGGCTCGCTGCAGCCTTGACCTCCTGGGCTCAAGCGATCCTCCTGCTTCAGCGTCCCAAGTAGCTGAGACCACAAGCACCTGCCACCAGGCCCAGCTAGGTTTTTTGTATTTTTTGTACAGACAGCGTCTCACTATGTTGCCCAGGCTGGTCTCAAGCTCCTGGGCTCAAGCAATCCTTCCACCTTGGCCTCCCAAAGTGTTGGGATTATAGGTGTGGGCCATTACACCAGCCCATATTTCTTTCTTTTTTAGTGTCAATGGGGCTGTGAGTTAGAAGTTATACCCCATTTTTGGTTTTCTTCTTTATGCCTCTATTAAAACTTCCACACCCTCTAGGGCATCCACACAAATGGGGCTCCCGGAGAAGGGGGAGGCTGAGCTGGCCATCCAACATGAGGTCCTGGGGCTTGGTTACCTGGTGATAATGGCCAGGTGGGGCGGGTTCATGCAGGCCCCCATGAAGAGCACCACGTTCTCGTGCCGCGTCTGCCGGTAGTTCATCACCTCTTTCTTGAAGAGCTTCAGGTGGTCCTGGTTGTGGCCGTCCATCTCCAGCAGGCGAATGGCCACCTCGCCATGCCAGCGGCCGCGGTGCACCCGGCCCCAGCGGCCCTGCCCGATGGGCTCACCCAGCTCTACCTGCTCGAAGGGGATGTCCCACTCCTGCAGGTACACGCTGGTCTGGCTGGCCTTGCGAGAGATGGGGCCCCGCCAGGGCCGGCGAGAGCTTGGCAAGTCGTCCACCTCGTCCTCGTCGTCTTCTGCCTCTGACTTGCCAGCCTCTGGCTCCTCAGCCTGAAAGGAGAGCAGGAAGGAACAGGGATGGGCAGCAGATCTGGGCTCTGCGACATCTCTTCCTTCTCCTGGAGCCCTAGCCAGGTAACAGGGGAGAGAGGCATCCTGCCAGGGGACACAGGTTGTAGTTGCAGCTCTGCACTGGCCTGCTGTGCAGCTCACTTAGCATCATTGGACCTCAACGTCCTCATCCACAGTATGTGGCGGCTGGCCCCCGTGACCTGAGGCCCTTCGTCATGCTAATACTCCAGTACCTACCTGTGAGCAACATCTAATTGTCTAGGGAAGAGCAAGAGCATCCCTGGCATAGAAGAATTTCACTGCATCCATCCTTCCGGAACTCTTGTTTAAACAGAGTTTCTGACTCTCCCCTGGGCAGGAGTAAATCAGTCTGTTAACATTCTCCAAGCCAGAATGCAATGGAGAGACCCAGGCTCGGCTGACACTTTTGTTTAAGGGTCAAGGCAATGATTCTTGACCCTGGCTACAATCACCTGGGGAGCATGGGGAAGGCAAAGCTTGGACAAGCTTGCTCCATTACATTCCTCATCGTTCTTCCCTACCATGCGCCTCTGCAATGGGTGCCTGGGACAGCCCTTGCCACGGCCCAGCACCCACTCACTCTCAAGCCCCCTGCACACTCTGAGATGGGGAAGGGAGAAACAAGGGAGGGGCCATCTGTGGACACGTGTGTGTCACCCTCACCTCCGCTTCGTGAGCCTCCAACACGTCTGCTTTCGGCTGGTTGTCGAGCCTAGGAGTAAAACAGGGTTTGTCAAGGAGACCTTGCGGGAGGCCGCTCCACTCTCAGCTGGCGGGGATTCCCGGGAGAGATCTGAGACAAAGATCCTTACCCTGACTCACACCTGGCTAGGGGAAAGGCCACGTGGATACCGTGGTGACAGGCAAGAGGCTGAGGGCCAGGCCTGCCCGTTGTGCAGCCTCAGCCTTCCCTAGGCTAACTTGAGGGTGGTGGGGGCTGAGAGGTGGGCAGTGATCCCCAAAGCCCCTTTTCAGATGTGACACTGCTACACAGGGTCTCAGAGCACACCCACAGGACTCAGAATCTGACAGCCTCGACTTGGAGAACCAGCTCTATCGCTTCCTAGCGGTGTGACCTTATGTAATTTCTTAACCTCTCTGGGCTGGTTGTACGTTAAGAATGGCACCTACTTTGAGACCTACCACTGCGCTGAGGGTGAGATGCGGGAATGTGAGTCAAGTGCTCAGCATGGCCTGGTAGAGAAAGACCTCTGCATAGGAGCTATTCTTAGGCTTCTCTAACTCCAAGTGCCCTCTATCCACCCTCCTGGGTCCCAAGACTGCTCCAGTTTCACAGGCAGCCCCACCCAACGTTGACCGCACTAATAGGAGGCAAATAAAACCCTCTACGGAATTCACTGGCCCAGAGGATGGATAAGCCCAGGGAGTTCTGCATCTGGCTGGCTGGAAAGGTAGAGTGGGAGGTGGCCAGGGATGTGGATCCAACCTGAATAATTCCCCAAAGAAGGGAAGGGGACACAGCCTAGGGATGCCTACCGGGTACCGTCGGCAGCTTCAGGGAGCGGGGCTGCCTGTGCAAACGCCGAAATGTCTGGAGGAAACAAAAACCAAATACAAAGCATGAGATCGCTTTCCCCTCCCCAAAGAGACATGGTGCTTGAAACCGAGCACCCCCAGAGAGGTTGATTTTCCCCTGAGTGGGCTGCCATGTGTTCCCCAGGCACTTCCACAAGGACCAGCCTGTGATCTTCCATAAATGTTGCAAGGACGCAGCCTCCACAGCACCTGCTTCTGCATACACAGCTCTGTCTCAGAAAGGGGCTCCGGGCAGGTGGGGAGGCTGAGACTTCTCATTACCACCACTCACCTGTGGCCGGCCAAACTGCCCCACACAAACAAGTGGAAAAAGCAAACTGGGCTCTCATTTACTGGACAGGCTGGCTAAAGCTGCTGTTTGGAAGTAGGGGCTGCTTGCGACAACCCTTGAAAGTAATGAGATGCTCTCACTTCGGCCAGCAAGGCAGTAGCAGGATGTGCAGGTGGCTCATTAGCGACACCTGGTGCCTGGTACAGCTGCTGGGGATTTCCAGCACAAAGGCCCCGACCCCTCGGCTTCCGGTATGGGTCACTGGTGGACCAGCTCTCAGGGGAGAGGAAGAAACGCCACATATCAGGGGCCCAAGAGTGGGCAGCTGGGGCTGATCCCTGAGCCTGGGGTGTTCCCAGTTTTAGTGCTAAAAGTCCCACGTCCAGGGAGACCAGAACTGAAGGCTACTCCAGCATGGAACCAAAGTGCTACAGGGAGATTGGTGGTCCCAGGACTGCCATGGGCCGCTCACTCCCCGCTCTTTTCTGCAAAAAGAGACAGGAAGTGGCAGTGGCTGAAGCTATCAAAGGCCTCTCTCCTGCCTGTGTGGACAAAGACTCTCCCCGTTCAGCCAAAAGACCTCCCTCGACCTTCTTCTAGGGCTTTCTTCTGCCTTTGAAGGTCCTCTGAACCACAGGCTGTTAACATCTCTGGGACCTCACAGACATGGAGAATCTGATAGAGGCCGTGGGCCTTCTTATCAGGGAAATGCACACATGTGCCCAACATCCTGTGCACAATTTCTGGGGGATCAGAACCTTAGAAGCCTCTACTGGTAAGGCCTCCCCTGGACACAGTGTGCCTGCAGACTACCAGCAGGGGCCTGGCATTTCTACCCATCCAACACTGCTCAAATGTTCCACAGAAGGTAAACACACGCCTAAGGCATGAGGGAAGTAGTAAGAGTTGGGGTGTGGTTTGTCCCCAACCCCCAAGTGGGAAGGCAAAATGCTTCTGAAGCCTCATGCTTTTCCTTAAAAGTTAAGAGTGTATCATACATTCTGCTCCAAAATGTGTCCACGTTTACTTTAATAAAAATGTATTTCCTTGCCCTCCCTGTGACATAGCTTCAGGGGAAAATGGGCCCTTCTGGGAAAAGAGCCACGTCTTCCCAATGTTTTGGGGTAATCCCCTGTGTGCATCCGAGAGCTAGTAACCAGGGAAACCACAACAAAAAACGGGTGTGAAACTGCAGAGGCTGCTCAGCTGTTCAGAGGAAGCCTCCATAAGGTGGGTTCTCAGGGCCCTGACCACTGCCCTGCACACACCTGAGCAACGCCATGCAGGCAGTCCTCTAAGGACTCAGATGCTCCAAGTCAGCCCCCTAATGGAGCTGGCTTAGGGAATAGAAAAGCCTGGAGTAACCAAGATACTGTGACTTCAAGACAGTCCTGTTCAAGACCCAAGAAAGAAACAGCTACAGTCTTTGTTTTAAACACCATTACGTTCATCACCTTCAGTTACAGTAAAAAGCACTGATCTCAAACACTTTAGGGGCAGGAATGGAAAGGTTGGTACACAGTAAGTGTAGAAAACAATTTTTACAGAAGGGACTCAATGTATTGACTTACTGAATTGAAAGTGTTTTCCTTTAAACTTTCTGCAATAAGGAGGCATTTCCAGCAGTGGCCAGCAGATGGCACTGTGTGGTAAGGCACAGAAAGGTGAAGCCCACTAAGTGAATCCCGCAGACCTTCCCAAATGGGTTTCCACTTCTCTAAGACGTTGTGCATAAGATATCCTCTGGCTATTGTGTAAGGGAGGATATGGTGACAGATGCTCATGAAGCATTAGCAAAAAGTCCTCTCCCCATTCTATAAACCCAGGTTCCAGTCCTGCTTCTACCATCTCCTGGCAGTGTGACCTTGAAAAGGTCGCCTGCAGCCTCTGTGCCAAGAGGCTGGACAGGTCCAGGGTCTCTCGCAGCAAGAACTTCTCACATTAAGAAGCCGACCTCCAGGGCACTTGCCCTGCCCTCTTCCCATCCTCTATGGGAAGTCAGCTCTCAGAACAGGTGGAGGGAGACTCAAGTACCTCCAAAGGCACCCCCAGGGAGAGGGCGCCCAGGTGGGGTGGACAGAAGGGGTCACAGCAAAGGGCAGTTAATGGAACCATGCAAAGGACTCACCTGGAAAGATAAACTGCTGTCTATGATGAATGAAGTAGGCAGCTTTAAACAGAAGAGGAGGTGAGTCACACACACAGAACGGCCAACGCAGGAGGGAGGAGCGGAATTGCAGGTACTGGCTTGGGAGACAGGGACTGGTTATTGGGCTGGGACAGCCCTACCCTAGATGGACCTGGCAAGGACAGGCCAAACCATGCAGGAAGGAGGAAAAGAGCTGGGAGAAAATGGGCCCTGGCAGGAGCCCCCAAGACTAAAGGGGTTTGCACTGGAGGATTGGGCATTCCAAGACCCCGTCTCTGGTCACCAGCGCTCTGCGAAATGCATGTGAGCCCAGAAGGGCAAAATACAATGGGAGAGAAACAGTGATTCTGAAAAGTTTAACAGTGTTATGTATGGAAGAATGGCCTCCTCCCCTTGAGCCCCACCTATACCTCCAGAGTGTCTCAACTCTCTCTCTTACAGGGTACTGAAAAGGATACACTGGGGTTCTGGAAGCTGACAGCATGTTCCAACCTCAATTCTGCCACATAACTAGGCTCTGGGACCTTAGGGAGTTGGCTAACCTCTCCAGCTGTCTCACTGTCAAATGGGGGTATAAATACAGTCATGTGCCACAGAACATGTTGCTTTGGTCAACAAGGGACCGCATACACAATGGTGGCCCTGATCATAATGCAGTGGAAAAATTCCTCTTGCCTAGTGATGTGGTAGCTGTGGTAACAGGGGCAGCGCCATGCATTCCTCACGTGTTTGTGGTGACACTGGCAGGAAATAATCCACGGAACTACAAGCTGTATAAAAGGATGGCATGCACAATTATGCACGGTAGCATCTTACTTGCTAATGAGAATAAACAACTTCATTACTGGTTTATGTATTTACTATATTGCACTTTTAATCATTTTTAAAAATTTTTAATTAATTAATTTATTTTTTGAGACGGAGTCTTCTCTGTTGCCCAGGCTGGAATGCAATGGCACAATCTCGGCTCACTGCAACCTCCGTTTCCTGGGTTCAAGTGATTCTCCTGCCTCAGCCTCCCAAATAGCTCGGATTACAGGCGCCCACCACCAAGCCTGGCTAATTTTTGTATTTTTAGTAGAGACGGGGTTTCACTATGTTGGCCAGGCTGGTCTTGAACTCCTGATCTCAGGTGATCTACTCACCTCGGCCTCCCAAAGTGCTGGGATTACAGGCGTGAGCCACCACGCCCAGACTTTTAATCTTGATTTTAGATTATACTTGTTCTACTTACCAAAAAAAAAAAAAAAAAAGTTATCTCTAATTTAGCCTCAGGCAGTTGCCTCAGGAGGTATCCAGAAGGTGGCACTGTTATCACAGGAGATGCCAGCTCCATGTATGTCACTGCCCCAAAGACCTTCCAGTGGGAGAAGATGTGGAGGTGGAAGAGTGATATTGATGATCCTGACCCTGCACAGGCCTAGGCTAGTGTGTGTGTCTTAGTTAACAAAAGAGTTTAAAAAAAATTAAGAATTTTAAAAATAGAAAAAAGCTTATAAAAATTCAAAGAAAAATGTTCTTGTACAGCTATACAATATGTGTTTTGGGCTAAGTGTTATAACAAAAGACTCCAAATTAAAAAAAAAATTAAAGATTATAATGTAAAAAAGTTGTAAGCTAAGGTTAATTTATTATTGAGGAGAATATTTTAAAATAAATTTAGTGTAGCCTAAGCGTATAGTGTTTACAAAGTCTACAGTAGTGTACAGGAATTCCTCACTCACTGACTCATCTAGAGCAGCTTCTAGTCCCCTACAAATAAATACCATTTTATTTACTGATTTATTTATTTAGAGACAGAGTCTTGCTCTGTCACCTGGGCTGGAGTACAGTGGTGCAATCTCAGCTCACTGCAACCTCCACCTCCTGGGTTCAAGCGATTCTCGTGCCTCAGCCTCCTGAGTAGCTGGGACTACAGGTGTGCGCCACCACACTTAGCTAATTTTGTATTTTTAGTAGAGATGGGGTTTTGCCATGTTGGCCAGGCTGGTCTTAAACTCCTGGCCTCAAGTTATCCGCCTACCTCGGCCTCCCAAAATGCTGGAATTACAGGCATGAGGCACTGTGCCCAGCCGTATTTTTAATATTTTGTGCTGTATATTTACTGTAGCTTTTCTGTGTTCAGATGTTTCAATACACAAATATTTAGCATTGTGCTGCAATTGCCTACAATATTCAGTACAGTCACATGCTGCATAGGTTTGCAGCCTAGAAGCAATAGGCTACACCACACAGCCGAGACGTGTGGAGGACTATACCATCTGGGTTTATGTAAGTACACTCTATGATGCTCACATTACAATGAAATTGCCAAATGCATCTCTCAGAACATTTCCCTGTTGTGAAGCAGCACGTGACTGTAATCTTTTCCCAGGTTTATCACTGAAGTTTAAGTGCAATGCCCCTGCACAGCACAGAGGAGGGGGACGACAGGAGGCTTGCCTTCTCCCGCTGAACTACAGGGCCAGTGGGGCAGGCAGTGGGGGTTAGGGGGAGGGTTGACCCATTGGTGCTGCCATGACCAAAGAGATAGAGTCTTGAGAGAGTGAGGCCTCTGTGCAGGGGGAAATGAAGGCCCAGTCTAGGGACATCAGGGAAAGCAGCAAGGGTCCAGCTGATTATGCAAACAGAACTTTTTCTGTGGCTGCCGTGTTTCAAACACACCCTTTCCATTTACAAAAACCCAAACTGGGAGGTTTAGCAAAAGGCACAGTTTCAGAGCATAATAAAGACAGAGCAGAATGGGAGAGGAGGTTAATCAAATGTGCCATCACTCAATGCAGGGAGGGGAGGGGCGTGCTCAGGATGGCGCGTGCATGTCAGGAGATATTCAGCCACGTGCGTACTGAGGTGAAGGCAAAGAGAGAGATTCCTACAAGATCTCTGTCTCCACTGTCCCCAAAAGAAGTCCCAGGAGAAGCTCCCTGGCCTCCTGCTGGCTGGGCAGAGCTCCAGCTGGGGCTCCCCTGGCACAGGGAGAGCTGTGACTGTCCTCATGGACCTGGAGCTCCAGAGGCCAGAGACAGGGGCCTGACCTGGACTCTATTGGCTGGTGACAGCCTGTGGCTGGGTCCAGAGCAAACAGGAGTGTCACAGCCACCTTCCTTCCTCTGGGACTGCAAACTGTAATAAACTGAAGGCTGAGACTGACTCTGAGGAGTGGCCAGAGAGGCTGAGGCAGCAGCTCAGTCCCAAAATGGGCAGGTGGGCTTCACTCTGCTGCTTGGAGAGGCAGACACCCCAGGGCCAGCAGCTGAGGGCAGGAGAGGCTGGAACCCTGACCTCTCCTGACAGACACCAGGCAGTGAGCTGGGGTGGAGCCTGGCTCAAGGTCTACTCTGCTGTAAACTCCTGTGGGACTCAGTGTCTTCAGCCACACAATGGGAACAACCTAATTCCAACTTTACATGGTCACCTATCTTATGGAAAGGGAACGAGAGGTCTCCTTGAAGGAGCTTACCCAGATCACGAGTGGGAAGCAGCAGGACCCCACCCAGATTCCCTCTCTGAGGCCTTCTAGCTCCCTGCATTGCTGGCCATGCCTCCTGGGAGCTCAGAAGCCAGTCCTGAGAAAGTGAGCACTGCCCAGGAGAGGCCACCCCATGAAGAGGAGGGCAGCGTGGGGATTATGTTGTGTCAGACGGACTTGGGTTTGATCTCCATTCTGCCACTTACAGGCTGTACAACTCATGGCAAGCCCCTCCCTCTCTCTGAACCTCAGTATTCCCATCTGTAAAACAACAGCATCAACATCAGAGCTATTGTGCTTGGGGCGCCTGGCAAGTGCTCCATAAACATCAGCTCTTATCTGTGACCATGTCTGACCTTGAATCTGCAGACCTTGGGTCTGCTGAGAAGGGGATCTGTCCGCACCCCTGAGAACCCAGAAAAGCCTGGAGATGTGGTACCTGGGAAGTTGAACCTGCTGTCCCGCTGGCCAGGTGAGGGGTTGGGGGGCGTGGTGGCGCTGGATGGGTTGGATGATGTTGGGAAGGGCGCCGGCGAGGAGGGTGTGGAGGAGGTGGTGGAGGAAGGGTTGCTGCTGGAGTCCAGGTGATTCATGGCTGGAGGGTGCTCCTGCAGGACCAGAGATATCGGGAGTGGCAGGGCTGTCCTGGCCCCACCTGCGTCCCACCGGCCACACCCTCCCTTCCCCATTTGGAAAGGAAGCAGTCAGCGCAGGGAATCCTCAGGGTCTGACATTTTACGCATCTAGCATTTGAGGAAGGGCAGCACACAGAGGCCCTCGCCTCAATGCCCACTCCCCAGGGTGCTCCTGCTCAGCTTTCTGATTTCAGCTCAAGCACACTCTTCCCAGAAGCCTTTCCTGCACCCTGGCTGGGACCACGCTCCTCCTCTCCATCCTGGCACAGCTCCCAGCAGTGTTTCATCAGGGCACCGTGTCTACTGCAGACGTCCCAGGCACTTTCCTGACGGAAGACTCTCCCACTACCTTGTGTGTTGCATGAGGCCAGGGTGATCATTACATACTCAGTGACTGGCTCTGAGCTGGGCACACATTAGGATTTTATAGTGAATTAAGTTCAGGCTCTGATAAATGTTATATCATGTCTGCTAAGCACCAGGCACTCTGCCAGATGTAGGGAGACCAATGATAAATGAGAGGCATACAGTCCTTTTCTTTGGAAATCTGGCTGAATCAAAGGCACTGGGAAGTCTTAGAGTCAAAGTACAAAACCCTGAAAGAGGTGATGTCTTGGGCTGGTGCGGTCTGCCATTTTGGAGGGGTAAGAATTCTGGAGCTGGAAAGAACTTTCTAGAAGATGACCACAGGAGTTAGTTTGTCAGGACAGGCCTGGTTCACTCATGTTGTCCCAACTTAAATGTTAATGTCATCCCTTCCACACTTAAAGCAAGCACGCTCCCCCTGCTAATGGATCACATGAACCAGTGCTTGCCATGGGAAACACATGTTTGGTGGCCAGTGAGACACCTTTAGGAGACCCTTGGACACAACACAGAGGACGCTGCACCAGGGAGGAGGGGTGCTCTGTTTCCTGTCTTGTTCTGCCTGAGAAAAGGCCTTGGCCTGAGCTGCTATGTCTTTATCGCCTCTCCAACACTGACTCATTACCCATTCAACAGAGTGAGGGCTTCAAGCTCCAAGCCTTAAGCAAGTGTGATAACCAGATGAAGCTTATAACTTTTTGGTTTTAACTGTGCTTGTTTTAATGATTACCTTCTATCTGTAGGGATCATGGTTTTTCCAATGATGATAGTGATGATTGCATAAAAGTGAAGTGTTGTTAAGTATTAGCCTAGGTGGTATCCGGTTAAGACAGAAACCATAAAGATGGTTTGCAGCTTTGATGAAGTTTGGGCGGCACTGATTATCAACTCAATTATCAACTCAATCCACACTACGTGCCACCACAGTCCCACTGTAGAGCTCAGGGAAGCAGGGCCCAAGGAAGCCAAGGGCTTTGCCCACAGTCATGGGAGATGGGCCTGGCATGATCCCAGCTCCAGGATGCCTTCTGGCCATGGCTCCCCAGCCACAGCACGGAGGAGACCCCTGAGAACAGCACCAGCATCTCACAGCTCTGAGCAAGAGCCTGTGGGAGCAAGGACCAGAGAGCCCCGGGGAAGGGAGGGCTGCTGCACTAGAAATGAGAAAAGGTGGGTGAAGGGAGAAAGTAGGGGGCAGGGAGAGAGGCCTAAGCTCCAGCTTCTCCCTGTGGCCAAAAAGAAAGAGCACTGGGGTTTGGAGGCAGACAGACTGGAATTCTCAGCCAGCTTCCACCACCACTTAGCTGGGTGACTCTAGGCAACTTCCTTTACCTCTCTGAGCTTCCATTTCCTCAACCACAAAATGAAAACATCAACACCTATGGCAGAGGGTGACTGCGCTGACCAGTAGCATCACAAAGGTGGGAGTGGGTGGTACATAGCAGGTGACCAATACATGCTTGTTCCACATTCTTTTGCAGACCTGCTAGCTAGGAGCACTCAGAAGTTTGGGCCCCAGCAAGGCCAGAAGACCAACAGAGAGAGGGCTCCAGGGGATTCTAAGTTAGGCAGGACCTGGATCTGAAAAGTGCTTCCTGAATGCAAACATCAATTCCCCCGGGGGTGGGAGAGGAATTCCTTGGTTAAAGAAGTTGAGGCCAAGTTGGGTTAAATGCTAAGTTCAACAGGTTTATTTGCTGCATGCCATGAAGGCCCTGGCGTACACAGTGACCTCTGGAATCTACTGGCCAGGGATAGTTGACATCACGTGGCGCCAAGTTAGAAGTGGGAGCTGGATCCACTGAGCCCTCCCTCTTCTCACTCACTCTCCAAGGCTCAGGACCCTCCATCAGTCCCTCTGTGACCCTGGACAAATGACCCAACCTTTAAGAGCCACTGTGTAACATGGGGGTAACACCTGCCGGATCACAGTGTTGTTCAATCATTCAACAATCAACATGCTGGTTTCCTGACTGCCTATTGTGTGCCTGGTGCCAATGAGAGCAAGACAGCATCACGGGGCCCTCAGGGAGCATCTGTGCTGAAGGGGAATGGGGCGGGCAGGGGTGGAGGGGCAGGTGGTGGGAGAAGAGGTCGAAGACGAACAGGATAAACACACCTCTCGGCACCATGTGTGGCCCCTAGTGAGAACTCAGTAACAGCTCATGTTATCATAGCAACCTTCAGCGGGATCCTGGAGGGCCAACGCTCTCAGAGACGAGAGGTCTTTGGCACCACCGTGTGGGCTTAGAGGCCGAGGAGGTGCACACAGGAGGGGCTCATGAGGGAGGTAGAACAGAGAGAGAGTGCTGTGAGGAGGGCTGAGGGGTGGTGTCCAGGTGGGTGGAGATGCAGGAGTGAACATGATGGGCAGGGGGTCGTGCAGAACGCATAGGGATGGGGGGTATGCTAGGCGTAGCTGGAGAGGAGAGGCAGGGGCAATGATGACATTGTTGGCAATGGGGGCAGGGGGCACTGCATTCCTGCTGAGGAACTGATCCTATCTGTGACGGGCTGGGAAAATAATTACTAGTTGATGGTATGGTACTGCTCCCTACAAGTTCATGAACATTCTCTCTTTACCCTTCAAATACCCTGTGAATGAAGCATTAGGAACCTCAATTTACAAAGCAGAAAGTGAGGCTCAGAGAGGTCAAGTGGCTCACTCAAGGTCATGGAAGCAAGAGAGGAGTTGGGACTCAAAGCCAGGGCTGGGCAGCTGTTGTGGTCTGAATGACTGTGAACTCCCACAGCTCACATGCTGAAACCCTAGCACCCAAGGAGGTGGTACTGGTAGCTGGAGCCTCTGGGAGGTAATTGGGTCATCAGGGCAGAGCCCTCAGGAATGGGACTAGTGCCCTCATGAAAGGGCTCGAGGGAGCTTGCTGGGCCCCTCCACCATGGGAGGATGTGGTATGAGTGACATCTGTGAGAAGGTGGGCCTTCCCAAGACATCGAGTCTGCTGGTACCTTGATCTTCCCAGTCTCCAGAACCATGAGAAACAAATTTCTATTGTTTTTAAGCTACCCAGTCTATGATATTTTGTTATGGTAGCCTGAACAGACTAAGACAGGACCCTATCATCTTTCCCCTCTTCCTCCCCATTCTGGGTGAGAAGCCACCACCAGTGGGAAACGAGAGGCAGGAGAGAGGACAGGTGCAGGCCCATGGCACAGTCAGGCCTGGGACAGCTGGCCTTCTTGTTTGACAGTAAGAGGTGGCCCTGGCTCTCCCAGAGCAGCCCCTGAAGCTGTACCTTTAGGGTCCCCAGTACAAACTGGCCACGTTGCCTGTCTTTTTCTTCCAGCCTGAGCCACATGGCCAGTCACAGCCATGAGGCAACTGGGCACATGCTCCTCATCGGAGGGGCACACGCTAAGCCCCTGCTCTGGGGCTGCAGGTAAAACACACTTAAAAATACACAGCCAAAACCACAGCAGCCAGCAGCCTGCAGCCAGCCAGGATGGGAGCTGCTGTCAGAAGCCATCAGCACTGGTACTTCCCAGATGCCAGGCACACCTGTGCAAAGGGGCCAATGACAGGTATGTCAACCCTCCTGGGGGACACAGGTTTTGCAGACTCTGTCTAGCTGCAGAGGACACCCGTCTGCCTCAGCAGAGAAGCCTGACCTGGCTATGGATGAAAATGCACTGTTTGTATTACTTTTGGGTATTCCTATGAGGGCAGCAGAGCCTTGCTCGGTGGCGGTCATGGCAATTGCTTTAACGAACAACTGAAGGTGTATCTACCGCACTGTGACTAAGGGCCCAGGTTTTGCGGCTGGGTGGCTGCCGAGGCTACCACTCTGGGTTTGTATCTTGCTCTCAGGGGATGCTGTGCTGTTTTCTCACCTGTGACATGGATCAGTATGTACCCTTCAGAACTATTGTGGGGCTCAAATGAAACAGCAATGGAAGTTGTTCCCGGTACACGCTAAACACACAGGAAGTGTTAGCTCAAAGGAGAAGGGACTGGGAATCACGGCTGTACCACCACAACTTAAATGTAAAGCCTCCTAGTGGCTCAAGATATGATTCCCAAGGCCACCCTCTGGCCACAAATCTGAGACTGTGGTGTCACATCCCACTTCCCCACTGAGCCTCTGAGGCAGGGGTGCTTTATAGGAAGGACGTCCAGTGGCAGAAGGGGGTCCTCCCCAGCATTACCCAGCGTACCTTCTTTGTCAGTGCTTTGGGAAGGGTTCCAAAATGGGGTTCGGCTGCTCTGTCCACCGGGTTGTTGATGTCCGAGGGGACAGATTCTGTCCTCCGAAGCCGAGTTACTGTTTGAAAAGAGGGAAAACCCATCACCAGGGAACAGGTCAAGCTAAAGATTGATTCACTGGAATCCAGAAGGCAGAGGAGAGGAAGGCAGAAAACTCACATGGCAGGAAGGATATTCTACAGGCAGGGGCTTCTTTGGTACATTTGTTGTGACACTTCAACCTGGTAAAGAAGGGGAGGTTAGCGTGCGGAGCGCCACATGCGGGGCTCGGGCACACATGGGTAGCTCTGTGTAGCATTCACTCAGGACTGTCTCCATTTCCACAAACTTCTCAACAAATGTTAGCTCGAAAGTAGAGAACACCATGATATTAATAGTAATAGCAGCTGCTACACTGAGCTGCTATGCTGAGCATTTACCACGTTCTGTGTCATCTACCCATCCTCACAGCAAAGTAGGTCTTGTGATGCCCACTTCGACTTGCCCCAGGTTGCCCACCTATTTTTCTTTTGTAAAGAAAAGGAGACCCTCTACCCATACTGAAAAAACTCAAGACAAATCTGAACTTACAAAAAAAAAAAAAAAAAAAAAAGACGAATTAGACAGACAGTGTTTGCTTTACCAAAGAATCCCAGGGACTCAAAGGGCAGCCCCTCCAGCTACATTTGTGCAATGGAACATGCGGTCTGAGGGTCAGCCCCAGGCTAGGATTGGAAAGAACTGGGTTCTCACTGTGGTCCTGCCTTCTGCACTGAGTCCTAGATTTCTCTCTAATGCGCTGAGGGTGTCCTATCAACCTCATACTGCATCGCAGGACAGCCTGGGCTCAGAGGTCATCCTGTGCCCTCCACATGATGGGAACTAGAGGTCCCTAATGTAAAGCCAAGTGGCCAGGAGCCACAGGAGACCCAGACTAGAGAGAGAAGTCAGCAACTCCCTAGAGGTCAGGAGAGTCGCTGGGAAAGTGATGGGTCCAGCTGATATGCACAAGACCCACCATCTACCGTGTGACTGGAGCCCAGATGCAATCACACACACTAGCTCAGGTTCTCAGAGCCATCCCCATGGTTGATGCATACATTAAAAATCAGGCCCAGAAAGGTCAAGTGCCTTGCCCCAGGTCATACAACAATGCAGGGGCAGAGTGGGCTGGACACCGAACCTCCAAGGCCACCTTGCATTAGGTGAGGGCAGTGGGACAGCAGAGGACACACTCTGCCCAGCCCACACTGTTCCCTATCCTTGCTCTTCCTTCCCACCAGAAACCACAAGGCATGAGAAAATAAAGTTGGACTTGTACAGAATGTATACCCTGCGCTCACTCTCCCCGTCCGCAAGCCAACTCCTTGTTTTTAGCATCGCCTGTCTGCCTCTCGAGGGCTTCAAAATGTAAGGCTAAACTTCAGAACTCCTTACAGGTCCCAGAACAGTCCTCATATTCCTCTGGGCCTTAGTACAAGATCCTCCCATGGCCTGGAATTCTCTTTCCTCCTTGGTCTATCTTGTAAACTTCTATTCATCCTTCAAAGCCCACCTCAAGTATTCCCTTCTTCGCGGAGTAACTTGCTTAATCTCCCTGAAGAGGCCTGATCACTCCCTGGTGTGCTGAATAGGACTATGAATAGCAAGTATAGGGAAGCGTGTTGGAACTCTGATTTACTAAACGAAAAGTGTCTGCTCCTCCCACCCCCACTCCTCTTCCCATCACCTGCAATGCTTGCACTTCACTCCAAATATCATACTCTTCTGGCACACGTGGCAGACCTGCGACAGCCAGGACTTGGTGGAGAACCTGCAGGGGGCAGACACAGGCACATGCTCGCACTGGCTGGGAGGCCAAGGCTCAGACACAGAAGGGTTCCCACGGAGCTCCAGGGCAACTGGGAGTCTTGGCTCCATCCCAGAGCCCCATGGGCCCTCTCCCAGATGCAAAGTCATCACTGTCAATATGCTGAAGTTGGTGTGGTCATCTGGCAGTACCAATCTGGCAGCAGCAATCAAGAGTACAAGTGTGCATACCCTTTGACCCAACAGTTCTTAGGAATTCTTAGGAATTTATCCAACACAAGGCCACAAATGTTGAAAGATTCATAGACAAGGTATGCCAGCAGCATGTTAGCAGCATAAAGACGGAAAATAACCTACATGTCCATTGATAGGGGCTATGACTAAAGTATGCTCTTTCCAAACAATGGAACACTATGCAGCAAGAAACTAAAACAAGGACGCTTTTTCTGTGCAAATGGAATGATCTCCAAGTCACACTGTCAAGTTAAAAAAGTAAGGTACAATAAGATACGATCCCATTCACATCAAGTTCAAGTACAGGAAAAAAAACTCAGCTATGACGATAGAAGTGAGTACCACTGAATGGTAGCACTGTCAAACTAGGGAGAACTAAAGGTAACTTTCTGGGTGCTGGAATGTTCTTCATCTTCATCTGGATGGTATACACAGGTGTGTACGAATACATACACATACACACACATAGTTGTGCATTTTGCTCTATATAAATTGTATCTCCATTTTTGGAAAAAAGTATAAGATTGTGTATAACATATGCAGTATTTGAGTAAAAAATAAAGGGGTAAACATACATACGTATTTGTTTGTATAAAATATCTCTAGAAGACAACACACAGCTAAGATCTCTTTACAGAGGGGACTGAGGAGTTGGGGACAGGAACAAGAGGGCAATTTTCTGTTGACGTTTCAACGTATCAGTGTATTTTCAATCCAAAATGTAGAACATTAAAGAAAACACGAAAGATAGATTTCAAGGAAGGATGGGGGATAAGTGGGTAGTGTCCTCCAGAAAAAAAGCGCGAGGCTGGTCCACAGGGTGGGGAGGCCTAAGAGCAGAAATAACTCATATTTTTGGAAACACAGATTTTTTTTTTAACGTATTGTATATCACAGTAACAACAGAACAAATGCCAACAGCATTTGGGAAGCAGTTTGTAATGCATCCACTAACACTAGCTCATTTGATTCTTATGCCCATGCCAGGGAGTGAGGCAGGTCCAGGATTCTTAGTGTGCAGCCAAGGAAACCAGCTCAGAGAGGTCAGGTGATGTTCCCAAGGTGCCACAGTTGGGATGCTGTGTAACAGGGTCTGGATCCCAGCTCTCTGAACTTAGAGTTACAGAGCTTCTCTGTAAGAAATTCCACTGGTCCAGCAGAGGCCAAAAAAGGCCTTCAGCACAAGGGAAAGAGAAGAGGCTCTGGGGACAAACAGCTGGGTTTGAATTCTGCCTTCTGCTTACTACCGGCTGTAAGATGCCTCAGACGCTTCTGCAAATAGGGTTAACGCTAAGCCTCACAGGATTTGGGAAGGATCACAGATACGCTGTGTAGCAGAGATCCATAAATGTTACTCTCTCTACCCAACAAAGATGGGAGCTTCTGGTGGCAGGGGACACCCAACTGCATGGAGCGCCTTTTAAGGAGTTGCAATCTGGCCTCCTCGAGATGCAACCAGGTCTGTGGAGGCTCACACATATGCACACGTGCTCTCTGTCTCCCTCATTGGGTTTTAATTACTTCTCATGTCAACACTGCAGGTGAGGGGAGCAAGAACCTTAGGGGTGGGGCCCAGGAATCTGGATTTTCAACAGGCTCTACAGCAGACTCTGATGTGCAGCCAGTTTCAGGACTCACGTGACATCTCAACGGATGCAGGGGAAGCTCCTGCAACTCCTTCCCATGACCCTGACCCTATTTCTCCTGGGACCTGTGTCCTGGGAAAGAAGGAAAGTGTTTTCCCTAAGCAGAGTGAGGAAGAGACCCGAGGAGGTGCAGATGACGGAGGTGCAAGTCCATGTGGCCACCCTGGCAAGGCAAGGGTTCCAGGTAAGTGCAGGGCCATCTCCCACAGGTGAAATGGAAATGGACAGACCCGTCAGAGGCAAAGAGCTCGCTGAGAAACAGAGACCAGAACTCCCGGCCCCATGTGGGTTCCAGCCCGGCTCTGTGCCCTGATCCCCCTCCAGGCCCGCTGTGCCTACCTGTGTGTAACCGACAGCCCGATATCCCTCCGTACCATCTGTGGGGATCCATGCGAGAGATCTGCGGGGAAAGAGGCCGGATGGGCAGGCTGAGGAACTCCGCGGGCGACAGCTCGTGCCCGTGACTTCCTAGTTCAGAGACCACAGGCTAGAGGGGGGCGCAATGGTTTATTACATAAGCATCTCCCTGATCTATATCCATCAACACAGGAGCAGGCCAGGCTAGCCCAGTGGCATGGCATGGTTCCCCTCGCCTCGCTTGGTCCTCTAGCTTGCTCCTGGCCTCTGAGGATGGCTCAGTCAGCTGCCTCTGTGATGTTTCTAGCTGAGGAGCAAGGCAGGCTGGAGAGGCAGAAGGCAAAGCCAGAGTGAGGACAGAAGCTTCTATACAGCCCAACCTCTTGCAACCTCTCACCAACACACCACAGGCCCCCAGTGTGCAGGGGCTCAATTCTGGGTACTTCTTGGTAGATGGCTGAAGCTGTCTACCTCAGGTGGAGAGCCGAGGCTAGTCAGCCCATCCAGTGCCTTTCCAGGCAGAAGCCCCTGGAGGATATTCCTCTGGGAGAGGCCACTGCCAGATCTGGGCAGACAGAGCGAGGACAAGGCGAAGCTTTACCACATTCTCACGTGGGCCAGCCCCACCCAGGTATGAGCCTGAGCCTCTGGGGACTTCTTGAGCACCCTCCTTCTCTGCTGAGAGAAAGGCCATATGCTTTGAGGTGCCTCTCCTGCTGGCCTTCCTGGAGGGCGCTCCCTCTCCCAGCCTGGGATTCCCTGTAAGAACAGGCATCCCTAGTGCAGTAGACAAACTGCTGGAAGCACTCTCTCCACCCACCAGCAGCCCGCACATTCAACTCACGCCCCCATACTCAGCGCCATTGCCTCCCAGAGCCAGCCCATGGGTGGGCTTCGGGGATCCGGGAACCCTCTGGACTGGTTCAGTAGAATGCTGTAGGCTTTTCTCTGGAAAGAAGATCTAAGACTTTCATCCAATCATCAAGGTGACCTGTGACCCAGAAAGGTCAGGAACACAGTGCTCTAGTGTGGCCATCTCATGTCCTCTGAGTCAGAAGGTCCCCCAAGGGTGGCCACTGCCCTCCTCAATCCCAAGTGCTGGTCTAGCACAAAGCTGGACTCATGAAGTGCTGGTTCACTTAAGGCCAAGTACCACATAAATAACCTCCATGAGAAGGGCGTGCTGGAGGTACTGAGTTCTCCCACATCAAGGAGAGCTGGATAAGAACAATCTATCTCACCTGCAGCTCTCCCTGGCACATCTGCCATGAGGCTGACTTGTCCCAACTTCCTCCTGGGGCTCACCCCACCCATCAGCAGCCAAGGCCACCAAAACACATGGGGATGGCTGGGCGCCGTGGCTCACACCTGTAATCCCAGCACTCTGGGAGGCCGAGGCAGGAAGATCACCTGAGGTCAGGAGTTTGAGACCAGTCTGGTCAACATGGTGGAAACCCCGTCTCTATTAAAAATACAAAAATCAGCCAGGTGTGGCAGCGGGCACCTTTAATCCCAGCTACTCGGGAGGCTGAGGCAGGAGAATCACTTGAACCCAGGAGGCAGA